TCAATTTTGACCTCATTTGACTCCATTGTTCTGCTCTTTCGGGGCAAGGCAGTTGGTGGCACCAACTTGGTGCTAATGCTAATATTTGTTCGCTCGCTGTAGCCTGCAGTGTTGTTGTTACAACATGCGCTGTGACTTAACGTCATGACGCACTGCACCGTTCCCCGGATGTTTTTTTAATTTATTTTATTTTGTTTAGTTTTACCCTGCTTTATCAGCAGAGATGGTGCTATCAGCCTGTCACCATAGACTGTAGGCCTGCCCTACTACTACACAAATCATGCAGCAGTGCCGACTAGCCTAATTTCGTGGTCCATATTTTTTTACCTCGATGCATTTCGTCACATTTTGTATTGCGAGTTTTGGCCAAACGATATTTTGTCACATCCCTAGTACAAACCCAGTGGCATCAGGGCAGCCAACTCTCACCAGAAATGAGCTCGACTAACTGCCGGCAATGCGGACCGAGCTCTGACACCAGTCGTACAGGGTCCTAACAGCCCGTATCAGAGGGCCTGGTACCCCATAATCCTGAAGTACCCCCCAGAGGGTACGGGCTGTTAGGACCCTGTACCCTACCCTGTACCCTACAGGTCCAGTCAATAAAAGGAGTGTTGCAGGTTTGATTTCTGATCCCATGGAAATCTGTGTAGAGCTGCGTGAGTAAAAACAAAACATTTACCCACTACTAGACACCACCATGGCCGTATCTACCATTGAGGACCTTGAGGTCTGGACCTCGGTATTTTTTCTGCAGAATATTTAAAAAATAATCTCTAACTGTGCATTTACAGCATTTACTTTTTAGAAAACATACTTGTCTGATTTTTGTTGAATTTTTAAATCATTGAAATGTTTGTAGCTCCTACACTGTAAAAGTTGTTGTCACAAATTCATGCCTGCTGGTCAACAGTAACCGGCTCTACATACTCCAACAAGTACGTTTGTGAAAAAAATACATCTCTGATTTTTCATTTATTTTACTGTAAACTGTAGTGACACACAAATGGCCCCTGCTGATAGCCAATTTCCTAGTACTCTTTATCAATACTTTCAAAATTTAACAGTCAAAGTTTTTATTTTTGGATCATTAACACTTGGTCATTTGCATATGAACGTTTTTACGAGGTTAAATAATTTGATCAAAACAATGCACCTGCTCATCTCTGCTTCTCCAAAAACAAATCACAAATCAAATATGTCAACTGAAAAGGCACCATACACTAAAATGTACTACACACACACACACACACACACACACACACACACACACACACACACACACACACACACACACACACACACACACACACACACACACACACACAAATAGTTGACTGAACAATGAAAAACATTTAAAATACAAACTCAACTCTCCCAAAATAGTAATACGTTGCTTATGAATCAAAAGTGAAAACTGTTTTCCATAATGTGCATCATCAATCAATCTTTATTTGTACAACACCTTCCACTGCCTTTGCAGGAGCCCAAGGCGCTGAACATAAAATACAGTAAAAACACAGATAGAATAAAAAAGAGATAAAAACAACATACAGACATAAAAGCACCATACAAAATGTAAACAGGGAGCATAAAAGCATACAAGTCACATAAAAGCTAAACGATAAAAATGAGTTTTCGAACGACTCTTAAAAACATGCAGCGACGGTGACAGTTTAATATCAAGTGGAAGCTCATTCCAGAGAGAAGGAGCCAAGACCGAGAAAGCCCGGTCACCTCTAGACCTGTACCTAGTTTGTGGGACAGTCAGTATATCCATCATCATGCTTATGTAAACAGATGATGTAGACAGAGTAAAGTAATAGTCTCACAACATTTCAGTCATGCTGTGGTGTAGAGTACACCTCAGTGTTAAGACTTACAAAACAAAGACCCGCATATAGGCCTCCCTCACACACATACAAGTACTTGACAGATATGAGTAAAAAAGTGACATAGAGAACAATGACACTAATTGTAAACAATAAATTATCCATTCCAAAATACAAGTACTTTGCATATGAAAGAAACGTTTGCGCTGCTTTCCTTAATGTGCATCATCATTCTTATGTAAACAAAGGACAATCAAGTCCTCGGCTCATAAATTTGAAGCTGTGCTGTCTTGTCCAGTACAACTCCATGTTCACACTTCCAACCAAACACCTACATGTTGTTTACATGCTGCTGTTTGCACATGTCACAACACCAAGGTGTCTTTTTGCTTGACATCTGGAAGGCAGTCATTCCAAGGCAGAGCGTGTGAAACCATGTTGAACAACTTCCACGTTGAATCTAACAAGGACAAAGAAATGCATCCACATAACCTTTGTTACAGAGCACTTCATTACAATATTTGTGATCAATTTCATGCCATAACTGTTAATCTTTACTACAAATGATCAGTTAAAATTTACATCATTGGTATTATCAGTACACGTGTTTAGATCTTCTCATGTCACATACCGATGGAATGGATCTTTTTTTACATAGGTACTACCAAATAAATGAGTAGAGGGGCAAACAGTAAACGGCTTCTATTTCCATTAAACCATATATAGCAGTGTTTCCCAACCCTGGGTACCTGGCACCCTAATGGGTTCTCCACAAGATTGCAGGGGGTCCACACACTTGTGTCTGTGATGAAGTTGTGAGGTTCTAAAGATGATATTTTTCAAAATTAAATTTATAAACTGCTCAGGACACAAACAATTGTACAATTAACACTGTGTATTAGAGTTACAACCCTTATGGATATATAAAATGTAGAATCATTCACTTTTGATGTGCGTGTGCGTAGGGATTGTGGTTGTAAGTGTGTGTGTGGTTCCGTGTCACTTCATTGACGCTCGAACGCTCGGGGATTCCTAGATTAAACCGAGAGCCGGCGTTTCACCGACGCTATCACTTCAGCGTCTGTGAGACAACGCTCTCTACAAGCTCAACTCCCGTATCCAGCCGACCAGTCTGACAGGATGACTGAGTCCGTTAACCCAGCAGAGTTTGAGCAAATGAAGAAGGAGATAGTTCAGCTCCACGCCTTGGTCGATCGGCTCAACACCAAGGTGAACTCCCTGACCGACCTCACCCTTCAGTTGACCACATCCCTCAATGCTCTCCGGCAGCAAGCCCTCGCTCCACCTAAGGAGGAGCCGCAGTTCAGCCTACCGGAGAGGTGGAATGGAGAGGTTGGGAGCCCAGATGGTCTGCTCACCTCCCTCGATATGCAATTCGAGTGCCAACTGGGACGCTTCCCCACTGCCCGCTCTCGGGTTGTGCACCTCACCTCCCTGCTTTCTGGACGCGCTCAGGAGTGGGCCGCTGCTCTTTATAATTCTAAATCCCCTGCCTGCAATGACTATGCTGCTTTTGTGGCCGCCCTCAGGAAGACCTTCGATTTACCCAGTAGCGAAGTGGGGGCTGAAGCACGTCTCTTAAAGCTCCGCCAATGTGAACGCTCTGTGTGCGCCTATGCGTCAGAGTTTTGCACCATCGCGGCCAAACTACAGTGGGATGACTCTGCCCTTCGAGCTGTTTTTTTGGAGGGGTTGGCGCCCTACATCCGAGACGAGATGGTGGGAAGAGAACTACCCCAGACCCTGGATGAGATTGCCGACCTGGCTTTGTGCATCGACCAGCAGGTTCTGGTTCGAGCCAGATCATCCACTCGCCCACTCAGAGTGCACGGACCTCTTCCTCGTTCACCAACTCCAGCTTCCAGACCCACTTCTACTGAGGAGCCTATGCAGCTAGGCCACCTTCCCCCGGAGGAGAGACAGCGACGGTGGTGCGAGGGTCTCTGTGCCTATTGTGGCTCTCCCGACCACCGGCACCTGGACTGCCCATTACGGCCGGGAAACGGAGGAACCCACTGAGTATCGGGGTAGCTCAGCCCGGGTCACCCTCTGCCTCTACCTCTTCCCACTGACTCCTCCTTCCTGTCACCCTCCTACACGATGAGACCTCACATCAGGTACATGCTCTGGTGGACTCGGGGGCCGCCGGCAACTTCATGGATGTGGATCTGGCTAAACGCCTACGGATCCCCCTGACTCCCCTGGAATGAGTTGTTCCGGTGACCTCGGTGGACGGCAGACCTCCCCAGCCCTATCCTGTCCAAGACCGAACCCAGTCTCTCCAGATGGTCCTCCAAGGCCACTGGGAAACCCTCCACTTTCTCATCATCTCTGCTCCCTCCTCTCCTCTAATCTTGGGGTTCCCCTGGCTCCGTCTCCACGACCCCCAGATTCCCTGGTCCCAGAACCGCCTTTTAGGCTGGGGGACCCAGTGCCAGGCCCACCTCTCTCCTCCTCCATCCATGGCAGACCGCCCGGCTGGTGGTCTTGGTCCTCTACCGCCCAATCCGCCACTACCCTATTGAGACCTGGCTGCAGTCTTCGATAAGCGACGCGCCACCACACTGCTGCCTCACCGCCCATATGACATGGAGATCAGGCTACAACCAGGTACCAGTCCTCCCCGTGGGCACCTTTTCTCTCTCTCTCCCTCTGAAACCAGAGCTATGGAGGAGTTTTACTGCTCGGTCCCTGACAGTTGGTGGCAGAGGTGGGATCTTCCAGTTAAAGGACATTGGTAAATAGATTCTCCCAAATTTTTTTTCTCTTCTTTTATCCTGACGAATCTACAATGAAGGGAACCAAATCTGGTAAAATCAAGTCAGCCCCTTTAGAGAGAGAAGCACAGACAGAGGATGGGAGTGAGGGCTGTGGAGCTTCTGCTGAAGAGGAAGTTCATGGCAGAGAGCCAAAAATATCAGACCTGGCTGGCATCCTTCAAGCTCACATTGGACGACAGGAAGCCCATGAGGTACAGTGGGAGAAGGTGATTGTACGCCAGGATCAAAGATTTAAAGATCTTCAACACCAGTTCAGTCTGTTTCAGCAAGAGTTTCAGGCCCAGACCTCTGCTGGCTTGCTACCTGGAGAGCAAGACCACGCCTGCTTCTCTGCAGGTTTGGGGCCTGCAGACCATCAGAGGCCTCATGAGTATGCTGATTGGGATGAGGTGGAACCGGAGCCTGCACCACGCTGTTCAAAATCAGGTGACTCAGTTTCTGTTCATCCTTCCGATAAAGAACCAAGATTGCAAAAGCTAAGTGAAGAGGATGACATTGAGCATTTTCTTATAACTTTTGAAAGAATAGCATGTGCATGTAGATGGCCGAGATCTGACTGGGCATTCCATTTGATTCCACTATTGACGGGTAAAGCCAGAAGTGCTTATGTACATATGGATGTGGATGCATCAATGGACTATGATCATGTTAAAGCTGCTATTTTGCAGAAATATGAAATAAGCAGTGAGACTTATCGTCTGAGGTTCCGTTCTCTTCAAGTTGAACCAAATGAGTCCCCCAGAGAACTCTTTGTGAGACTAAAGGAGCTCTATGGGAGATGGGTCAGACCCAGAGGTAAGACCATTGATGAAATTAATGAAACAATAATCCTTGAACAGTATTTCCGAATGCTATCGCCAGAACTCCAAGTTTGGATCAAGGAGCGTAATCCAAGGGACGCAGCAGAGGCAGTTTCTTTGGCAGATGCGTTTGTGGCAGCCCGTCGAAGGAACCAATCATGGGTTTATAAGGCTATGAAAAAGGATTATACCCCTGCGCCAGGTAACACCAGTCCGACAGAGAATGTTGGTAAGCCATGTGGAAGGGAGAAATATTTTCCCAGTCAAACAAAAAATCTGGGGCGGAAACCTGTCTGTTATTTGTGTGGGAAAGAAGGCCACACAAAACCGGTGTGTCCACAAAATCCAGCTAAACTCTCCCAGATGTATTTTGTGCCCAGAGGGAACCATGCCCCAAACCCAATGAACCAGCTGTTGGTGGAGACCACAGTGGAGATAGATGGACAGAAAGTTAAGGCTCTTATTGACACAGGAAGCACCCAGTCACTGGTTCATCGCAGGTACGTCTCACCAGCTCACATCTGCACTTCTGAAACAATACCAATCTGCTGTGTGCATGGTGATGAAAAACAATATCCAACAGCGGACGTCTATATGAAAGTGCAAGGACATGTGTACCTATTAAATGTGGGTGTCATGGACAGATTACCATTTCCTGTTGTCTTGGGGAATGATTTACCAGTTCTCACTGACTTGATTAACGATCCTAAAATGTGCAATGTGGCAATAACACGGTCTCAGTTGAAAGCTCCAAGGGAAGATGATCGCAGTTTAAGAGCTTTACCATTTTTTGGGGCTGAGATTGAAGCTGGCCCAACTAGAGAACAAAAGTCTCGTAGGCAGCGCAAACGGGACAAATTTAAAAACACAACAGTGTCCACTCTGTTACCTGAACCTAAGGTACAGCTAAGATTTGAAATTCCTGACAACATTCTTGAGCTGCAGCATCAGGATGCAGGCTTGGCTGACCTTATTAAGGGAGCTGAAGAAGGTGGGACTGCAAAGGAATTCTGTTTGCAAAATGGCATCCTTTATAGACAACATGGAGAACTGAAACAGCTTGTGGTACCTAGAGCAGCCAGAGAAACTGTTTTATCTTTGGGCCATTCAATTCCTTGGGCTGGCCACCTAGGGAAAAATAAGACCTTAGCCCGTATCCAACAGTATTTCTACTGGCCGGGATTGTACAGAGATGTTGCCAGTTTTTGCAGGAGTTGCCCTCAGTGTCAAAAAACATCAGCCCGATTCGCAGCAAGAGCTCCCCTACAGCCTCTTCTCATCATAATGACACCATTTGAACGTTTGGGGATGGACGTTGTGGGCCCAGTGGAGAAAAGCAAATCAGGTAACCGATTTATGTTGGTTATTACTGATTATGCCACAAAATATCCAGAAGTGTTTCCGTTGAAGTCTGTTAAAGCCAAGACTGTTGCATTTTGTCTGGTTCAGTTTTTTGCACGAGTTGGGTTCCCTAAAGAAATATTGACAGATCAAGGGACCAATTTCATGTCCAAGTTGCTCAAGGATGTGTACAAGCTGATTGGTATTAGTAGGCTGAGAACAACGCCATATCATCCACAAACTGATGGCCTTACAGAGAGATTTAACCAGACCCTTAAAAACATGCTTCGTAAGTTCATCAATGAATAAAGGTCTGATTGGGATCAGTGGCTCCCATACCTTTTGTTTGCCTATCGAGAGATTCCCCAAGCTTCTACTGGGTTTTCCCCCTTTGAGTTGCTCTTTGGGCATGACGTGCGAGGACCACTGGCGCTTTTAAAGGAAAGGTGGGAGAAGGAGAAATCTGGAAAGGAGCCTGTTAACATAGTTTCATATGTTCTCCAGATGAGGGACAAGCTAGAGAAGATGACCACCTTGGCTCAGGAGCATATGAAGGTCTCCCAGCAAAAACAAAAAACCTGGTATGACAGAACTGCTCGAGAGCGGCATTTTGAACCAGGTCAAAAAGTTTTGGTTCTACTACCCACTGAAGACAGTAAGCTTTTGGCTCAGTGGCAAGGACATTCAAAAGCTCGGTCCCACGACCTATAAAGTCTGTAGTCCAGGTGAGAGGCGTAGTACAAGAGTCCTCCACATTAATCTCCTGAAGGAGTGGATTTCAAGGTCTGAGGAAAGGGAGAAACAAGATGTTTTTCTCATCAGAAGTGTGACAGAAGAGGAGGTGGAAGAACAATACCTCCCTCTACAGGTGACTTCTGGGCTTGACCTGAGCCATCTGTCCCCTGAGCAGCAGTCACAGGTGAGGGCCATCTGTAATGCCAATATTTTTCAAGATAATCCTGGGTGTACAGACTATATCAAACATGAAATTCTTTTGAAAGGAGATGCAGTGGTAAAACGAAGGAGCTACAGGATCCCTGAGCGCCTCTTGGGGCCTTTAAAGGAGGAAATTGAGTTGATGCTTTCTCTGGGAATTATTGAGAACTCCCAGAGTGAATGGTGCAATCCTGTTGTCCTGGTACTGAAAAAAGATGGCACCTTGAGGTTCTGTATAGACTTCCGATACCTGAACTCTGTTTCTAAATTTGATTCTTACCCAACTCCTCGTATTGATGACCTAATTGGTTGTCTTGGCAGAGCAAAATATCTTACCACCATTGATCTCTCCAAGGGTTATTGGCAGGTTCCTCTTGCCACTAGATCCCGTGAGCTGACTGCCTTCAGAACACCCTGGGGCCTTTACCAGTTTACAGTCATGCCGTTTGGGCTGCATGGAGCACCTGCAACGTTCCAGAGACTTATGGACAAGGTATTGGAAGGAAAATCTCACTTTGCATCTGCCTACTTGGATGATATTGTCATCTACAGTAACAGCTGGGAGGAACATCTTGAACATCTCACAGTTGTGTTTGAGTGTCTTCACACTGCAGGTCTGACTGTGAATGCAGCTAAATGCATGCTGGCGAAGAAGGAAGTACAATACCTGGGACACATTATTGGCAATGGAGTCATTAAGCCTCAGATTGAAAAGGTTCAAGCCATTCAGTCATGCCCTTTGCCACAAACCAGAAAGCAACTGAGATCATTTCTGGGCATGTCGGGTTGGTACCATATATTCATCCCTAATTTCTCTGCCAGAGCTGCTCTGCTTACAGATCTGACCAGCCTCAAAGGATCTAACCAGCTCGAGTGGTCAGACGAAGCGAAGATGGCATTTGAGGACATCCAACATGCCTTAAGTGGACCTCCAGTGTTACATTGTCCAGACTTCAAACAACTATTTGTTTTGCAGACGGACGCATCTGATCGTGGCCTAGGGGCTGTGTTGCTTCAAGGGCCTCCAGACAGACGACATCCGATTGCTTTCATAAGCAGGAAACTTTTCCCAAGGGAAACCCGCTACTCAACAGTAGAAAAGGAGTGCCTGGCTGTTAAGTGGGCTTTGGATTCATTCAAATACTACCTGTTGGGGAGAAGATTCATCCTAGAAATGGACCACAAGGCTCTAAAGTGGCTTGAGAGGATGAAGGACTCGAACAGCAGAATAACTCGCTGGTACCTGGCGATGCAAGCCTTCCAGTTTGAGATTCATCATATACCTGGGAAGCAAAACTCCACTGCTGACTACCTGTCCAGCTGGCCCATGGAGTTTCCAGAGGAGGGGGAGTGTGTGGAGGTTCCTCCAGCCATTTCTCAGTGTCAGTATTATTTAAATATCTTTTTTCCACACGCTGGTTTATTATTTCATTTTGTTGCAATATTGTAAGTTTACTAATGGGTGCACACATTTAGTAATTTATCTTGCACATAGTTTTTTTGATCATTAACTATCATCATTTGTATTCTGAGATTGGATGAACTGGCAGAGAGAGGGGACACACCCAGTGTAACTCCATGCAGGAAGTGGAACATTCCATCTGGCTCCTGGAAGCAGGGAGCTTGATAATGAAGAAACCAGAAACCAGACGTTCTGAAGCTCTATTGAGTTTACCAGATTTTGTTAGGATGTATTAGTTAAAGCTTTTTTGTGGTAGTTCTACTTTGTTGACTTAGTTTCCTAGGTTTATTTACTGTTTGTCTTAGTGTTTCCCCTGTCTCTCCCCCCCTCGTTGTCTGTAGGCTAGCCTGTGTGTATACATTCCCCTGTGTGTCTCAGTTTGAGAGTATTGCTTGTTACTTTTAGTTAAGGTTATTTTTGTGGCCATTTTTTCCTTTGGGCCCGGTTTTGTTTTGATTTTGTTTAATTCTTTATGAAATAAATGGAGAAGATATTCTTTTTATACCATTGTCCTGGAGTTTTACTGCTCGGTCCCTGACAGTGAGCATCGGTCAGCCTATCCTCAGGCTATCACCCGCGGACCAATGATCAGACAGAGCGGGCTAACCAACAGCTAGGTTGGTACCTCCGGTGCTTTGTCTCGGCCCAACCCTCGCAATGGCCTAAACAACCTCCTCTGGGCAGAGCTGTCCGACAACCTTCACACCTCTTCAACCACTCATATGTTCCCTTTCGAGGTCTGCTATGGCTATCAACCTCCGGTCTTCGCCCACCAGCAGCCCGAAGTTGCTGTACCTGCTGCGCAATCCCTAGTGAGGCGCTGCAAGAATGCCTGGATCAAAGCACGAGCTTCCATCACCCGAGTCAACGGCCGTTACGCTCGCCAACATCTCCGCCGACACCGTCCTTGTCCCTCCTATGTCCCTGGGGTTAAGGTCTGGGTGTCCACCGCGGACCTCCGCTTCCGTGCAGGGTCCAAAAAGCTCGCTCCCTGGTTCCTCGGGCCTTACACAATACAGAAGGTCATGAACCCAGTCTCGTACCGGCTGCGGTTACCGACAACTCTCTGCATTCATCCCACCTTCCACATCTCCCGACTCAAGCCCTATGTGGAATCCTCCCTGCTTCCGCCTCCGGCGCCTCCGCCTGCCCGCTTCCTCAACAGTAAGCCCATCTACAACATCTGGCGCATCCTGGACATCCGTCGCAGGGGTCGCGGATGGCAGTACCTCATGGACTGGGAGGACTACGGCCCAGAGGAACGCTCCTGGGAACCGGCCCGCTCCATCCTGGACCATGCCCTGATCTCTGACTTCTGGAACCGCCGGGGCCGCCCTGGGACTTCAGGAGCCGTCCCTGGATGGGGGGGTCCTGTCAGAACCCAAGTCCCCAAACCAACCTCTCCCAGCTAGCCGGCATCCACCATGGAGTACAACTCCCAGCATGCCCCTCGCAGGGATTCCCTCCACATCGCACCTACGTCACGAACCGTGACTATATACGGAAGTCGCCTCCCCAGCTCACCACTCAGTCATTGTTTCTTCAGATCTATGATAAGAGTTTCCAAGCAACCGATCCATCGTACGAACTCTCAGCTCACAGTAAATGTTCTTTCTTACTTCGGGAAAACCCAGCATTTCCGTGTCACTTCATTGATCCTCGAACGCTCGGGGATTCCTAGATTAAACCGAGAGCCGGCGTTTCAACGACGCTATCACTTCCGCGTCTGTGAGACAACGCTCTCTACAAGCTCAACTCCCGTATCCAGCCGACCAGTCTGACAGGATGACTGAGTCCATCAACCCAGCAGAGTTTGAGCAAATGAAGAAGGGGATAGTTCAGCTCCACGCCTTTGTCGATCGGCTCAACACGAAGGTGAACTCCCTGACCGACCTCACCCTTCAGTTGACCACATCCCTGAATGCTCTCCGGCAGCAAGTCCTCTCTCCACCTAAGGAGGAGCCGCAGTTCAGCCTACCGGAGAGGTGGAATGGAGAGGTTGGGAGCCCAGATGGTCTGCTCGCCTCCCTTGATATGCAATTCGAGTGCCAACCGGGACGCTTCCCCACTGCCCGCTCTCGGGTTGCGCACCTCACCTCCCTGCTTTCTGGACGCGCTCAGGAGTGGGCCGCTGCTCTTTATAATTCTAAATCCCCTGCCTGCAAAGACTATGCTGCTTTTGTGGCCGCCCTCAGGAAGACCTTCGTTCCACCCAGTAGCGAAGTGGGGGCTGAAGCACGTCTCTCGGGATTAAACCGAGAGCCGGCGTTTCACCAACGCTATCACTTCCGCGTCTGTGAGACAACGCTCTCCACAAGCTCAACTCCCGTATCCAGCTGACCAATCTGACATCAGGGGCCCAAAAAAGTTTCAAAGTTGAATAAAAAATAAATAAAGTTTAAAAATCACAAGTACTTTACTTTGCAGTATTTTTGCTCATTTAAGACATCAAACAAACAATCTTTTAGTCTTTATGAAATGTATATTTATTCAGAGGTCCCTACTTTATTTTGACTAATTAATTTGAACCCCCCCCCCCCCCCCCAACGGCATAAAATGGTACAGTCCACCTGGCCAAGGGGCGCGTAGCAGGCGAGGCCAGCTTCACGCAGCAGTCAGACAGCAGAGGCTGCAGTGAAAATATGTCTGGATCACGGAAAAGGAAAGAAAGAAAGGAGAAAGAGGACAGGCAGAAGAGAGGGCAGCAGTATGTCACACAGTTTTTCTCAAAGAAAGGTGGGTTTAGTTAGTGAGTGGTTAAATTCAACCTGTTTGTTAGCTTTGATATCCATAGTGAGAGGAACGTTGGTTACGTATTGTAACCCCAGATTCTTTGAGTCTAGTCGCAGCCCTTAAGCTAGCTGCTATTGGAAGGATGATCTCAGCATCAGCCAATCATGAAGAGCTTAAA